ATGGGACGTACCCATCTCTGGAGTTCACCCCACCTACTCTTAAACCCCACCCACCTCCTGGAATTTCTACGGGAATCTATTTTGTTCTAAACATGAGAACACTGCTTTGAAAACTAGTCTCCCCTTCACTGCCGTAGTGTGGTAACTGCACAATCTTTTTTTTTTTTTTTTTTTTTTTTTTTTAAATTCTCTTTTATTATTTTTTTTTTTTCTTCGTTTTCCCCGTTAACTCTATTTTGTGTATTGGTTTTGAGTTTCTCATGTAAAAGTTAAGGCATTGCTCTCCTAGCCTGGCTAGGGGTGGGGTCATAAAAGCTCTGGGTATGGGATGGGACCGGAAGTGGTGTGGTCAGAAATATTTTGTCCCAGTATTGCTAATGGCATTTTATAAATTCAGATGCATTTTATAAAGAAAAGAATTATATATATAGATACAAGATGAAATACGAAAGGTGGCAGAGCAACACTGCCACTAACGATTACAGGAAGTGTTGATTGGTGTTAGCCAGGAAACCAAGTTAATATGCATTTTTACTGATCTACCTCAGGCTAGAGTACCTCAGAAAATAAAAAGAAGTAAATGATATATATATGGAAAAATGTTCCTTTCTTTTTTTATTTTGCTTTGTGGTATTTTGTATACTTTATAAAACCTAATAGTTCTTGAACATTTTTATTTTTTTAAGAAAAAGTCTGTCAACACAAGACCCTCAAGCCCCACATTTGTTATGATGCAGACCGTTAATAACTGTACATAATGTCTGCACATGTAGGTAGGTGTGAGGTTTAAGGTCTTGCTGTTCACAGATAGGAATATTGTAAAGCGCCTCAGTGTTGCCGAGGAGCCACCTTCTTCTGGAAACATCAAAAACAAGATATGAATGCGAGAAAAAAAAATGCCGACCATACATATTGCAGCAATGCCATTTAGTTTAACAATTATAACATTAACATTTTGGCAGGTACCTTTTCCCACAAACGTTAAGTTAGTGTTCAGGGATTAGCTTCAGCGTTCAGGGATCGTGTTAAGTCCTGCTGTAAGACACTGATGCGCCTTCATCAGATTATCACAGCCCAGCCCTTTGTGGAACATGTGCATTTTTCTTTTCCCAGCCTTTAATTTTGACATTTGTGAGTTGGCTTCCATCACACCAGGCTTTTCCACACTGCAAACGTTTTTGTCAAGTGTCCGTCACTGCATGGTGAGGGTTGGGGGAGTTGCACTGTTTTCAAATGCTTTTGATGTTACAATGGATGCATCTTTATAGCCAGCAGTAATGTAGAAATGGATGGGTTTTTTTTCTAAATTAGAAATACAAGAGAAAATAATGAATATTTTAGAAGATATATGGAGGAATAATTTTTTTCCTGCAAGAATGTAAATGATCGTGGTAAAAGAGCATATTCATGCTTCCACATTAGTAATAATGTCTACCTCAGCTGAGTCAAGAGTGGGTGGCGTTGAAGCTTGTGCCTCTCGCTACATTATTAAAAATCTGTGCCGATACATTGAGTCCCTTGTGAGCACTTGTGCTCTGTTTTGGCTCAGTGTATTGTGCCTTCATTCACAGGAGGGGCACAAGTGGTGTTCTGTGTAGTTGGAATTTATTATTTAAAAAAAAAAAAAAATTTATTTATATTTTTCCCCCTTTTTCCTCTCTATCCCCCCCCAATACACTATTGTTGATCTACCTCTTGGACACATTGGATTAGAGACATATTACTATTTGTTAGAATTTAGGGTAAATTTTCATTTCCTTTTCTCTACCAGAAAAAAATTGTTTCAAAAAAATCATGTATGGTTATATTTGACAAATGAGTGATTTTTAAAAATAGTTTCTTTTTGCCTGCATTGTGATCTGGTTACTGATTTAAATCCTCCATATGTTGCTTTTTCTGTTTTTTGGTTTTGGTGGTGTGGCTTCCATGTATTAGGCTTTTTCATGCAGAGATGTATCAAGACATTGTTCATTTGGGATTTGATCAATAACCCAGAGGTTTTTCTTTTGATTTAGTTTTGTTTTCTTTAAAATGGACTCACCTTCTGATTTATGAACTACAATTGAGTCAAGTTTTCCCTCAATATGTAAAATGATGCTAGCATTTATTCTAATATACAGTTTCTTGGCTGTGTTGTGTGGTGAGTCATGTTTCAGTGGGAATGTGATGTGGAGTTTACAGAAAGTGGTCCAATTTCAGCATGAGCCACAACCCCTCCGACCGTGCTTGTGCCCTCATACACTTCCACTTGTCAAATGCCTCTGAGAATTTAATTAAAGTCATGTTGGCTCCTATAAACTGTGTGATTGTGTCTATATACTGTCTTTATATATATATATATATATATATATATATATATATATATATATATATATATATATATATATATATATATATATATATATATATTAAAAATGAATAATTAGTATTAAAAATAGGGATTTATTTTTAATACATTTAATATCCTAATATTCAAATCCAATGTTCTGAAACCCAATCCTCTATCTATGCTTCATTGATCCTGCTTTGAGAACCACCGTATTATGGGGTGTCTGTCAGAATGGGATTGTGTGGATGCAGGTTTTCATTCCAAACAAGCAGAAGCCACTCCGGGGTCTATTGAAAGCCCTGATTTAACAGGTGGAATCCGGTGTGGATCTTCCTGCTTAGAATGAAACCTGTGGGCATAAGATTGGACACCCCCTGATGTAGATAAAATACTTTGTACTTCTAATGTGATGTAACTTTAGAATTGATCTTACTGAGACCTTTGTTTAATTCTGCATGCACCAGAAGATCAAGGCCTTGTCCCATGCAAATAAATGCTAAAGGATTGAAAATGACACAAGTGAGAAGAAAATCCAGTGTGTAGCATCTACCTGGATGATGCGATGACCGCCATTGTGCACTAGCACACCCACTACATCTTCGCTATTGGTGGAGAGGCGTGATCTAGCCAATTCAGTAACCGAGATCATTAGAGGGCTGTGAAAGATGAGGGCTGTTAGATTTCCACCTCACAGGAATCTCCCGATTATGCCTTTCAGATCTCAGTCATGCCTTCCAGCCTGTTTTACCATGAACTTTTATTAATATATATGGACTTATATGGACTGGACATTAACAGTGGCCCTTACTGTTCTAGTAGGAACATGGTGAATTACGTCCTCCAGTTGTCACGTCGTACATTCCATCAGTGAGTTGAGCAAAGATGCAGAGACCATACCAGCCATGGGGGAGAGAAGCGTATGCCCTAACCCCACAAACCCAGTAATGGTCTTTGACAGTGTTTGTTCCAAACACCGGAAAGCCCAATGAACAAGTATCAGGCAGTCCTTTACAAGTCAATTTATTAGTATACCATACACCAATTCTGTTAATCTTTTCGTTGGGGTTAATCAATTTAGGGGGTGTAACGAGTTCTTCACTATGATAAGGAGAAAGAGCACCCATATACATAGATGCTATGCTATCCTTTCCTCTAACATAAGGGGCTACAGGTAATTTATCTGCTATCTCACATTAAAAACATACTGTAAATTTATTACCTTTAGATAAACGAACAGACTGATGAAAAGTTAGTGGTATCTGAGGTGTTTTAAAAGACCCTTCCTCTTGACAGGAGTACAGGGGGTCCAGACAATCAGTAGGCCAATTAGTTTTTTTTACGGTCAGCTAGATCATAAGGGGAGATCTTTACAATATGGAGTAGTACCTGGTTTATTAACACCTATTAAGGGTTTATTTTGACTGGCGGTGACGTTAAAAGGAGTAATAACATAGCGATATTGTCAATATTGTCATAGCGGTGTCGTCTAAGACCGACGGCTACAGAGCACCACAAATGTTGATATGTTTCTCGTACTGGATAAAAGGTGAAAGGATGGAGGGTGCTATGCGGCATGAGAGCGCAGATAATACAGGATGTAGTAAGGCGCATTTGCTTCACAGTTAGAACTGAATATTTATGGTATGCGTTTTGATTGAAATATTCGATATGTAAGTCACCAGACACATGTTCACAATGATAATGGCGATTACGTCTTTCAGATCTGTCATGCCTTCCAGCCTGTTTTACCATTAACTTCTATTAACTTTTATTAACTTTTAGTTCTGTGCTGCTATGAGCTAGAAAGTGTGGTTTTCTGCAGAGTCAGGCGCACCTGGAGAGTCCGAAATGAACACACACACTGAGAGATATGAGCGTTCACAGGAGACTTCCCCTTTACTCATTCAAAACAGAAGTATTTATACACATTGATAACAGCAGTGCGTGGACAGTTTCTACTGGTCCAGGTTTCAGACAGATTTAGACAAAAGACACAGTACATAGTCATGATACAAAATAAGTCCCATGTCATGTTGACACGGAAATACATCATAATATAATCAAGGATAGCAGTTGATCAGCTTATTCAAAGAGGTAATTAAATGATTACATTCATCACATATTTGAGAGCAGTTCATAATATAAGAGGGTGCATAATATGAGAATTTCCTATCAAGGGCCAATTTCACCAGGACACTGGGGTTATACCCCTACTCTTTTTGGGAGTTTTAACAACCAGGACCTCAGTTTAACATCTCATCCGAAAGATGGTGCTGTTTTTACATTATAGTGTCACCGTCACAACACTGGGGCATTAGGACCCACACAGACCACAGGGTGAGCACAACCTTCTGGCCTCAGTAATATTACTTCTAGCAGCAACCTTAATTTCCCCCAGAATGTCTCCTATTCAGGTACTGGCCAGGCTCAACCCTGCTTAGCATCTACTAGTTCTACCCACTACCTAATGAGTCACTATACTCTTATGATTGCTGCAAACATGCAAAGATAAGTGAGTCCTTTTGGCATTTCCACAGTTCTGGACCCCAGTTGGTTTGCACAAGAGTTTGCTCAAGAATGGACAGCTATTATTTAACTTGGGAGCTGTCCCAACATTGTCAATCCTCTTGAATATGGTTGTTTGGTTTAATTTAGAGTTCATTTTCATGTGGGCAGTGGTGGCCTAGTGGTTAAAGCTCTGGGTTACTGATTGGAATGTTGGGGGTTCAAGCCCCCGCACTGCCAAGCTGTCACTGTTGGGCCCTTGAGCAAGGCCCTTAATCCTCTCTGCTCCAGGGGTGCTGTATCATGGCTGACCCTGTGCTCGGACCCTGACATGCTGGGGTATCGGAAGAAAACAATTTTACTGTGCTCTATTGTATAGGTGAATAAAGACTCATTGTCATTATATATAGAGCCAATAAAGTGTCTCAAAAACTGAAGAAAGGCTCCTCCCAAAACTTTTACCTGTGTCACATACAGGTTAAAACTCTTAAATAAATACATTGATTTAAGATGAACAATAAAGAAGTGCAGTTTGCATGCAGCATAACTGATACATTTTTCATTCTGTGGTTTGTACAGAAACTGTGAGGATAAGCAATTCATATGAACTTATATGCTATGATGACTTAGTACTACAATTACTGTGGTAGCTTTAGAACTAAGTTTTGCACTCAAGTCACCATCAGTGAACAGTGGATAGGTTCAACCAAACAGACTTCATGTAAAAACTGCAATGAATTTACTGTGTATACAGTTACACTATTTGACCATGTAGTATCAGCATATTTATAGAAGGGATTTATTTATAATCGCAATCTGTGGTTACCCAGATGAGGATGGGTTCCTTTTTGAGTCTGGTTCCTTTCAAGGTTTTTTCCTCATATCGTCTCAGGGAGTTTTTCCTCGACACCATCGCCTCTGACTTGCTCATTAGGGATAAATTCATACATTTAAAATATATATCCTGAATTTATATATTTCTGTAAAGCTGCTTTAGGACTATGTTTATTGTTAAAAGCGCTACACAAATAAAACTGAATTTAATTTTATTGAATAAGCCTGCAATTATGCACTCCACAAAAACAGTACAGAATCCATCTACATACTTAGACAGTCAGGCCACACAGCAGTGTAATGTATTGGGTCCAGAAACTTGGATCAGACCACGAGTATTATTAAATGAAGGTAGTCTTCCTGGATACATTTACAGCCCCACTATATGGCCGAAAATATGTGGACCCCTGACTATCACATATATGTGAACCTTCCCGAAATTGTTATTACACATTTGGAAACACACAACTGTATTGGATGGCTTTGTATGCTGTGGTATTAATATTTCCTTTCGGTGGAATTTTGGAGTGGAAGAACTTGAGTGTCCTGCACAGAGCCCTGACCTTAACCCCGCTGAACACCTTTGGGATTAACTGGAACACCAACTTTGCCCGAGGCCTCCTCAACTGACATCAGTGCCTGATTTTGGTGTAGAAAATTTCTCCAACCAAGTCAAAAAACTTCCAGAGACAAGGGGTTATATATATGTCAAAAGAAATCAAACTTTATTCAAGACAAATAAAGTAGAGACCTCTGCAGAAATCTTGCAATAATACATAGGCTTTTTATACCATTCTGAACAGTGAGCTCATCTTAGGCAGGGTTTTATCATTTTCTTTCAAATCAATCCAACCCCTTTACCAGAATTAATTACTCCTGTCTATATGTTGCCTTATGCAAGACCAGACCATAACTTTTGTTATTTTAAAAAGGTTTGTAAGTTCATGCTGTACAAAGTTCACTCCTACTGCCTTAATAGTTTGTCTCTCCTTAGTTACCCTGAGGCCCCAAAAGACTCCAACCTCTGTTCTAACTTACACAAGTATGCACACAATGTGTCTAAATGGTGATTTATTGCTTAACTGCTGTGCACAAAAGCACAAGGAGACACAGAATATCACAGGATTTTTCTAACTCAGTACACACTTAGAATATAACATAATTAGAAAATATTCTATAGTTTTTAATTATACTTTTTAATATATTCTCTCTCTCTCTCTCTCTCTCTCTCTCTCTATATATATATATATATATATATATATATGCACACATTTATACATTTTGTTATGTTACAGCCTTATTCCAATATGGATTAAAGTCATTATTTTACTCTAAATTCTACAAAGAATACCCCGTAATGACAACATGAGAGAAGTTTGTTTGAAATCTTTGCAAATTTATTAAAAATAAAAAACAAAAAAGCACTTGAGATCCAGGGGACCCCGTGGAGAGAGCGAGCAGCTTCAGGTACCTTGGAGTACACATCTCTGTCGACCTGACCTGGACTCATCACATTGAAGATCAGGTGAACAAAGCCAGACAAAGGTTGTACCTTCTGAGACTGCTGAGGAAATTCAAGGTTTTCTCAGCGATCTTGAAAACTTTCTATACTGGGGCCATAGAACATTTACTAACTCAGTGCATCTCAGCATGCTCAGCATGATATGGAAACTGCTCAATCCAGGGCCACAAAAAGCCCTGCAGAGAGTGGTGTGCTTAGTGAACGCATCTCTGGGTCTGCTCTCCCCTCTCTGCATGACATCTGCATCAGGCGATGCAGTACAAGAGCTACTAAAATCATCAGGGACTCCACCCAAGCTGGTAACTGTCTGTTTAGCTTGCTGCAATCAGGCAAGTGCTTCCGTAGTCTGATGGCAAAAACTGAGAGGCTCAGGAGGACCTTCTTCCCTCAGGCCATCAGACTCCTCAACATGCACATGTCCTCCATACAGATCCCTTAGGAATCGATAAGGACTTTACACTCACTCTGCACTCCACTGACACTCTGAATGACACACAATGTTTATGAAAATTGTATCCAGAGGTAGCATACATAGAGAAGATAGCAGTAGGCCTAAAACAGATCCTTGTCAAACACCAAGCGCTACTTAGTATGTGTAAAGAAGTCACCATTTACATCTACAAACTGATAATGATCAGTCAAATAAGGCTTGATCCAGAATAGGGCTGTTCCCTGAACTCCAACTATTATTTTTGGAAAATATTATGATCAGGGGTATAAAAAGCTGCACTAAGGTCAAGCAATGAGACAAAACCCTGATCAAAGACTAATAGTTGGTCATTTACCACTTTAACTCCTTTTCAGGGTTGCGATGGAACCTGGAGCCTATCCCAGGGAGCATCGGGCACAAGGTGGGGTACACCCTGGACAGGCTGCAAGTCCATCGCAGGGCACACAATCACACACACATTCCTCTTTTATATCTTCTTTCTTTTTTTTGCTGCTGCTGTGACACCCTAATATCTCCATCTGGGGATTAATAAAGTCAATAAACATTAACTTAATTTTCTGTAATAACAAAGGATGTAACCTAGTGAGTACACAATACCCACAATGCACTGTACAGCCAGCCTATGTAGTAAAAAATGTGTGGGTTTTGGACACATCTCTAGTGGGCCAACAATTTATTTATGTGACTGTCTTGATTAAAGCACAAATTGTGTTCATTGTAAGTGTGATTTTAATTCATCAATGTGAGGATAAGTGGTAAGGGGGCCATTTTGGGTAAAGCATTAGTCAAGAGTGGTCTGTGTGCTTGGTCAGTGAGAGTGGTGTAGTGGCATACCTGGCTATGTGCAGGCTGGATCTGCAGGTTGATGGTGGTAAGCTGGACAGGCTGAGCTCTAGACTGGCTCAGGCCAGAGTGTTGGCTCACTGTGGAATGGAAGATGGTGGATTGTTGGCTCGGAGATGATCCCTGGCTGAGGGCTGGTGGTTTAGGCAGGACAGGGACAGGTCCACCAGCTGAGGAGCTCTGAAGGCCAAGCGAGGCAGTCTGTGGGTGGGGCTGGATTGAGGCAGTCTGCAATAATTGGGTCTGCATTTGAGGAGTGGGTGGAGCTTGGTGTTGAATGACAGCGCTGTCTCAGTACACTGTGACGAGGACTAAATCCTGAATTATAGATTTCATTACTGTTATTCCTATGCAATTATAATCCTATCTAATGTGCTATAACCTTTTCTAGGCTCTTGGGAATAAAGGGGAGGGCAGGTTTTTTAATCAGGGGTTTGAGAACTGCTAGTTTAAAGGATTTAGGTACATAGCCAGTGCTACGGGAAGAAAGTATTACAATTGTCCATTTTACCATTGAAAAATATCAGAAAATCATCGCTATTACATACTGATGGTATGTATGCTTCTATGGTGGGCTTGTTCCTAGTTAACTTTGCTACAGTATTAAAGAAAAATCTGGGATTATTTATGTTATCTTCTATTAGGGTGGAGAAATATGATGATCTAGCAGCACTAAGAGCATTTCTTTAGCTAGGAAGGATCTCCTTCTATGCAACTTGGAATACAACCAATTTAGTTTGATGCCATTTATGTTCTAAATTTTGAGTGGTCTGTAGAGATATATATTAGATATATTATAGCAAGACATATGGTATAGCAGTAGAGATTGCTATACCAGGGTGCAGGTTTTTCTCTCTAATTTAAAGTGGGGCTTCATTCTTTAGAGATCAGCAGGTTGATAGATTGCAACTCATTTAAAATTACATTTAAATAGGCTAGTAATTTTCAAAACCCTGTTTCTGGTAGAAGGTATTGCAACATGATTGATTTATGAAATGCACCCACTGTCCAGCTGCTCTTGAATATACTACTATTTACAATAGCCACAGTTAGTGTTATATAGCACTTTATATAACACTTTTCTAGACTCAAAGCATTTTACATAGCATAGGTGGGGAAATCTCCTCAACCACCACTACTGTGTAACATCCACCTGGATGATGTGACGGCAGCTATCGTGCGCCAGAACGCCCACCACACACCAGCTATTAGTGGAAAGGAGAGAGTGATGTAGCCAATTCAGAGATGGAGATTATTAGGGGGCCATGATAGAGAAAGGCCAATGGGGTAATTTCACCAGGACACCAGGGTTATACCCCTACTCTTTTACCATAAGTGTCCTTGGATTTTTAAAGAGAGTCATGACCTTCCTTTAACATCTCATACAATAAACAGCCTGTTTTTACAGGGGTCAGTAGGACCACAGGGTGAGCACCTCTTACTGGCTTCACTAATACCACTTTGTTTTCCTCAGGACATCTCCTATCCAGGTACTGGCCAGGCTCAATGCTGCTTAGCTTCAGTGGGACACCAGGGGAAGAATTGCAGGGAGATATGGCTCTGGCATAGTGTAGTGTACAGGCCACCCAG